GTCATAAATTGAAGCAAAATTTTGCAACCAGAGCTGGCCATAACTCAAACTGGTCACAATTTGCAACCAGAGCTGGCCATAACTCAAATTGGTCACAAGTCAAGAGGTCCGTAAGTCGAGGCACCACTGTATTCTCCCATTTGAATGAATTACCACCATTCACACATAGAAAACCAAAAAACAAAGCACCGTCTTTGATAATAATCTTTCAAAGCCCATTCCATCCATCACCTCTGCAAACAGCTTGTCTGACAATTTTTTCCACCTTCTTAGGGTCCTCACAAGACAGCTCTGTTCCCAAACCCAAATTATCCAACCTGGCAAACTTTCCAACACAACAATCCCCATTAACTCCAACTAGCATAACCATTGGGATGATGGAGGTAATTTTACCACACCTCTGGAAACCATCAGGGTAAGATGGTTTGCCTTAGACATGGAGACACAGGCACCTCGAAACAATAGGGAATTACCTAACAACAATAGTAGCAACAGCCTGTTGAATTTGAAGAGTTCTACCAACAAGTGTAGAGATATTTCAGAATTAAGAGATAACATGTTGCTGAGCAGCACATAAAGCTAGAGTTTTCTAAAATGAAGGACACTCAGTGGGTAGTTTTACATAACTGAGGTTGACAGAGGCAATAAAAGCTCTCCGTTCTTCATACTTATGCCTCTACAAATGTTGTTCATGACGTTGGTCATTAAGCACATGGGGCCACTGGGAGACTTCCGGCAGGCCAGCTAAATAGCTCACACATTTGCAATGCAAGCGGCAGAGAACTCTGAGAATAGCATCCGATGAATCATTTATAGGAACACTTGGCTGATAATTTCTTTCAGTATACAAGATGCTGTTGCGTAAAATTGTTATAAAGCTTCATAATTAATCGGAAAATTACTTGTGAAACATCAGGGACATCTGTGCATTTCAGAGTCATTATCAGTATTCCGAGGTGACAAAACCATGTGTTAACATTTAGGGAAACACCTAATCAAAACCCTTCTGGTCCTAAATTGCAATTAAATAGCAGTCTGGTTAAGAGACAGAATGGAGTCACATATTATTTGCAGTAGAACTCAAGAAATGAAATATACTTATTTTAACTAGAGGATACAGGTAGTTGGCTGGACAGGTCCAATATGGGTAGCCAGTAGGAAGCAGGCAATGTTTCCAGTGCTGATTCTCCCAGCATCCTCCAGGACTATTCGAAGAGAATATCAACACATATGAACTGCACCAGAACAGGGAACAGGCAGATGTATTTTCATCTCTTTTTCTACATCTATAGCTAGATTGGTAATCTTTGACTTCCTCCCTATTTCTCCCTCTGAGTTTATTTCACACTTCTTCTTTACTCCATTTTGATTAGATGCAGCAGCACAAGTCCAAGCAGAGAAACCAGATCCAGAGGCTTCTGTAACTAAGTTAATAAGCCTTTCTTTTTCCACAAATTTGTTTAAATAATAAACTTTAATTTTCACTTTTATTTAAATACTTTACTCCATTTTGATTAGATGCAGCAGCACAAGTCCAAGCAGAGAAACCAGATCCAGAGGCTTCTGTAACTAAGTTAATAAGCCTCTTTCTTTTTCCACTATCCACAAATTTGTTTAAATAATAAACATTAATTTTCACTTTTATTTAAATAAATACTACCAATCACTCCTCTCCCATAGTCACATAGTCTGCACTATGCTACTGCACTCAGCCATTAAATACCAAATAACTCTAACAAGGACATGGTGCTCCTTAAGCTGACCAGAAATAAGCATCTTAGGCATTCTTGATCATCTTTTCTTTAGCAAAATACTGGCTTATAAAACAAACAGACTATACAAGATCATCAGCAACTGTGCAATTCACAGATGCTGGATTCCAGAATATGACCAGAACAAGTTGATTTTCCACAGTTGGGTTGTATACTTGTGGCAGGAAAAGAGCCAATGAGGAAAGCATAATGATTATAATTTAGTAATTCTCTGAGATCATTTATTGTGATCTGCTGAATTACTGAGGTTGGGCTTCTCCCCAGATGTCCTTTTAGCCATGGGCCGTGCTAATGCCAAGGTAGCCATCAAAAACAGGATCTGGGATGTCAAGCTCCAAGAGCATTTAGCAGTGCTGGACAAACTCAGTGTATCTAGGAATAGTGCATTTAGAATGTCCAATTATCTATTAAAAATCCCCAAATCTAGGAAAGTTTTTATGTCATCTTGGTTTAATGTATTTCCTTCTAGACTACTAGAAGGTAGAGATATCAGGGCTTGCCAGTCGCTAATCCAGCATGTCTTTGCAATAAGGCAGAGGTTGAAAGTGCTGTTCATGTCCTCTTAAAGTCCTCCTTCTATTGAGATATTCGGAGGAATCTCCTCCAGCCTATATTGCAACAAGTTCAAGAGAGGTCTACAGAATATTATGTTGTGCTCTTCTAACTCACAGACAAGAAATCTGATATAACTAAAGCAGTTGGCAAAGTTTTGTGTGGCAGCAATGAAGTGTCATTGTTCCCTCCTTGCACGAGTTAAAGCGATGCCAAATGTTTAGTAATGGTGTATTGGCCACCATATACTTTAAACGTTACACTACTTAGCATGATGAGATTGGAGGTGGTACAAAGTTTATTGAATTGATTTACTGATCTCCTCAGTCCAGTGAAAGTATGGAGATTCTATAAAATTTAGTCATATTGCAATAGGTTGTATATTTTATATTTTATTTATATTTTTTAATTGTATTTTCATTTTGTTCTAATATTTTAATACATCTGCTGGTCACTTTAATGAACTTTAATAAAGGGACTTTAATAAAGATCAACCAATAATTTATTATTCAAATATTCTTGTTATTGAGCAGGCACCTATGGACTGGCTCTAGATCTATCCAACCAAATAATGGACATTTACTTTGGAATTTACATTAAGATCCAAAATAAGTCTAGAAAGTTTCTGTGTCCTGCATAGAGATGGGCATGAACCAGCAAAATGGCAGTTTGTTGTGGTTCATGGTTCACTGGCGTGAATGAAGCACGAACTTCCTAAAGTTTTGAAAAAACAAATCATGAATCAGTTCATTTTGGTTCAGAAGTGAAGGAGCCCTAAAATGCCCCCCACCCAACTAGCTAGAGCCACCAGATCTTCTCCTGACTCTTCTCTATAACTCCACCATGTTTGATGAAGTTTGGATTTTGGGCATTCTAGTTGAACACCCTCAAAGCAGGTCCCCCCCAGGAAAGTGCCCTTTAGCAGCTGGCTTGGGGAAAATTCCAGTGGTGGCTCATGCCAGGGAACCTCACACAGGGGTGGAGTAGGGAGAGACAATGCCTTTTCCCCAAACCCCATGGACAATGCCACACTAGAGATCTGAACTGAAGTACTGTACAGAGGTTGTTGTGTGGTCAGCTGGCAGGGGGACAGGTAGAGAGACAGGCTATCTGACATGGGAGCAACATGACACTGGAGATCTGAGCTAACCTGGTTCTAAGGTAGAAGGGTTCCTCTGACTAGGAGAAGTGGCTCTGGGGTGAAAATGGATCCTGTAAATCAGTCTTATAAATAAGAATTAGCATCTCCCTCGGAGCCTTTTGAGCTGTGTGTTTGGCTGCCTAACCTGCCAATCCAGTAATCTCTAAGTCCCTCCCAAGGTTGCCTAGTGCTTCCGATTGATGGGAGTAAGCTATTAGGGGCACGGGGGGGGGAGAGAAAATGGGCAAATTAACCAAATGAACAAAAAAAAAACCTTTGTTGGTTCCAAAACAGGGCCTAGAGTAGGGATAGGAAATATGTGACCATTCAGAAGCTGATGAGCTACAACTCCCATACTGTGTGTCATCACTGGCTACATAGATAGGGAAGATGAGAGTCACAGTCCAGAGGCCTCAGAATTTGTTGTGTTCTTTATAAGAGCAGTTTGTGTCCAAAGTATGTCAAGAGAGATGCTGCAAGTCCAGTGTCTTTAGGTTTCTGCATCAAATTCATTCTAATTGTATTTTTTGGATGTGTATTAGATGTTCTGCAATCTCCAGCCATCCTGAACTAAAGGAAATTTTTTGGCTCTTGACTCCTCTCCGAAAGATTTACAAACATTCTGGATGAAGGTATGGATGGAGGCGGAAACTGGGGAGGGTCCCATTCAGCTCAGAAAGAATGCAGATTTCAGTGAAATGTTGAGGCAATGACACCCACCTAATTACATCACAAGAAGCTTGTGGAATCTAGAGGCTTGGCTGATTCAAAGTTAATTAATGGGAAAGCATATTAGACTTACTGCCAGACAACCAAAATTGTGGGCAGTTAATCGACAGAATTTATTCAAGACTGGGTGTGCAATAAATAAGGTCTGATTGCCCACTGCTAATCCTCTCAGCAGCCGAAGCCAATCTTCATTCCTGCTTTCCTTATTACTACAGACTCATCCCGCCTTTTGCTTTGGATTAATTAAAATGGGGTGGGGGGTGGAGAAATGCCACCTAGTCCACAACAGAAAGTCTATGTGCGGGAAACCTGTGGGCTGCAAAACTATATTCCCCATTAGCCCAAAATATATCATGACCAGTGACTAGTAATGATGGAAATTGTACTTCCAACAACTTCTGGAGGTTCACAGCCTCACCCTACTCCATGCCTGCTTCAAATCTAAGCTTCTTCAAAACCATGGGGGAAGCATACACCTGAGCTTATGGGATTGCTTTCTCAAGAAAAATTAACCATGAAATAATTAGAGATAACATGCCCACATGGAGACTCTTTGTCTATCAACAATTCGGCTTAACTTTATTAAAATCTTACACCAGACAAGAACATGCTTAAGATGACTGGAGAAAAGCCATCAATTTCTTTAACTATCCTTACAGCAGAGAAATAACATGATTAAAAAACATTATGGAATGTCTGGCTTAAAAAAAAACAAAATGGTATTGACAGCCTTGTTCACAAGGCCGAGTACTGGAACAATGTTTTGCAGATTCATCCAAGAGCCAATGTTAGGAGAACCAACTTACCACATCAATAATCTGCAGTAACGACAATTGCAGTTCCACTACAAGAGGTTGTGAGTCATTCATCACAGGTCGTTCAAGGCGGTTGTAGTTCTTCAATAGTTCTCTGTAGAGCCTCCTTTGATTTTCACCTTGTTGGGAGACTGAGAAGAAAAGAAGCTTATTTAGCTATTAAGATTGTGTTGAGTACTTTGTTGTGCATTGTCAGAAAGGCTCTTGTGCTAGTGTACTTCTCTTAATCTATATTACAATGATAATTCAAGATCTGTAAACTGCACGTTTAGAAATAAATTTTGAAATACACTCCGTAGAAGATTTAAAATTAAAGGCAGCATCCTGAAACATGTCTCCTAACTATGAGAAAATGTTATGGGGTTCTTCCCAATGTGTTTCTTTGATCTTTCAAAAAGTTGATGGAGGGCCTTCGGGTGCAGCTTTACCCTGCCAGCAACTTTACCCTATTGTGTGGTTTCAATCAACTGGACAAAGTTGATCCAAGTTCAAATGTTTGTTCAGTTATGCTTCGAATCAGATATATTTGGGCAGGAGTGATCTCATGGATGAGCATCAAAGGGCACCTGTTGAGCTCCACTCCTCAAGGAATCTACTACCAAATCCTGGAGGTTGAAAGACCTGCTGGTTCTCCTCCTTGAGCCACCTGCCCTCTGCGTTGGTGGCTGCTGTAGAAAACAAAAAGCCACCTCTTCTATGGTCCCTGATTAGCCATGTTTGCTGTGGATTTTAGAGGTGCCACCTAACTGAGACCATCATCAAGTTTTCACTTAAAAAAAGAGAAGTCCCCAGACCTTATGGAACAAGAGATATAAGACAAAACATACAGTGAGTGCTTTGACTGATTATTTGTGAGAAACAAAACTTTCTGTATAATGAGCCAATAGGTGCAGCTATTCACAGTTTCACAAGTAAATATTGCAAATTCATTGCCCTTTGCAAACAGCTGCAATCTGTTTGCAGAGGTGCCTGGGTTGTTTCTATGCACAGTGCAGAGAAATTACTGTAATAACGCTAAGCAAGGAATACTGGCTTGGGGATTGTAGGAACTGATCTCCAAAAAAGGTAACTTTTCAAAGCTCTGACATTATATATTTCTTCCTCTGGCGGGAAATTGAACTTATGGTCTTTGCTGTTCCTTCCAGCGCTAGGACATTAAGTTTCACATTACCTCTCCCAAGCTTCTGGGAGTTTACACAAGAACCTAAATGTTTGCTGCCCAAAGGGAAGAGCCAGTTATAAAGGGGGAAAAGTAGGGGGAGAAGGAGAGAAGATACATGATTAGAAGATTCTGCTCCTTGTTGTTGAGCTGATACTTTCTGTGGATTTTATATTTCTGGAAAGCATTGAGAGGGAGCTCATTTTGTGTGTATCTGTCTTTGAAATGCTTACCCAAATATTTGACCCACCAAATTAAATTAGTCTTACATCTCAGTAAAAGGTACAAAGAAACCTGAGGGGCATCCAAGGACATCTCTTTTAAATTACTTTTTATCTGCAGTCTGTATTCCACCATCATTTGGGGTTTCTTTTATTAGTTCTTTGTGTTTGTTTAGGGATGTTTAATGTTGGTTAGGTAAGTGGATGTTGTTGTTTTTTATTGTCCTACAGTAAACCACTTAAGAGTAATGCTTTGCACTACGTCAGCAGTGTATTTAATAAACAAATATACAAATACATAAATCTTCCTTATTATGTAGAATGTTGCACAGTTATTTTCCTTAACTACAACTCCCAAACAACAGGACATGTGACTGCTTGAGTGATGCTGGGTGGTACTTCATTTATTGAAAATGTATTCAAACTCTTGTATGAATCTCATTCCCAGTATAGCAGAGCAGTGGAGCAAAATCACTGTGGTAGGGGTTTCAGAAGCAGCTGGAACACTGGATTTGCACACGCACACACACAAACACACACACGACAAAGAATGTCAAGCTAGTCTATTTCCTAGTTATAATAAAATATTCAGTCCACATCTCTAAAGGCAATGGCACCTTATTATTGCCCTTTGATTTCTACAGCATGCTCTCATGTTCCTCTGCACTTTTTCCTGCAGATCAAGTGACTGTGTATCATTCCTGAGTGATACTTGAGGTATTGTCATGGAGCTATGGGGAAGGGATGGGTGGCAGGGTGCATCAGTGAAAAACGGATGGCAAAAAGTAACAGTCATTTTGTAAAAGCATCGCCACAAGTCGAATGTGCGTGGTGAAATATCATGGCTTATGTGGAATCCTTTCTGTTGTTGGAAGCCACTGGAGGGCAGGTAATCTTTAATTACAGAAAATTGCCACCGCTTCAATGACCTTACCTGCAGCAGCTCTGGTAATTTTAACACACACACCCATACCAGAACCCCAACAACTTATGAAAAGGATTCCATGGGATCCTCCAGACCTTTCGGGGAAAACTAGAAACATTTTATTTCTGAAACATCACAATAGCTATTGACACCATCAACCTTGTATGGCATAACTTACAGAACAAGATTTCAGTGAATGGGTCCTACCTGCCCATCTGGTCCAACCTCAAACACATCACTCAGTATGTTACATCAAGAAGAGATCACAATAATAGATTATTCCTGGGAAAATCCACTCTCCAGCCACAGCTAGTGTGAGAATTGCAGTTATGCTCAGAGGGGAAGAGAAAAGCCTGTGAGTGGTGGCAGATTACATGATTTCCTTGCTAATAATGGGCAATTCAGACCCATTAGTTTTACAAAAGATACTATTTTATGTTTGTTTGTTTATTTGTCTTATTTATAGACTGTCTTTCTCCCAATAAGGGGACTACTACTAGAGATGAAAACTTTTACAGCTGGTTCGTTGATCTGTATCAACACAGTTGCCTGCATTCTTACAGAAATTCATTTAAATTAAACCATCCACCATGGCACTTTATGGCAATAAGCACCTTCAATCTTGTCATTTGACAGAACGAGTATGCTTTGTAATATACACATGTCACTATATTTTAGTAAATAGCTCAACAATTTAGCAAGGCATTTCTCATCAAGCTGCGTTTTACTATGAACTTTTTCTCCATGGAATCACAAGAATGTTCCTTGTTATTGCTCCTGATCGGTTTATTATTATTTTTCTCTTCTTTTCTTTTTGGCATTTTCATTTTTCTAAGAGTTCTAAGCTGTCACTCTCACTATCAAGGGGATTGTTTATCCCACCTATTGTCTTTCACAACAAATTGTGTTTTGTATCCACATGTTTGCATCCAGATTTAAAAAAAAATTGTTTATAAAATTATGCAAATGTATATGGGAAGCAGAGTTGTTGGATTCCTGGCATGTCACCAAGGCAGCTGCTCCCGTTGTACTCCACTGGCCTATCTAATCAAGCTATCTGTGGTTCTCCTTGGAACAAACCCAGAGCAAGAGGATACAGGAACAGAGAAAATGGGGGCAGGGGTAGCAGGACAAAATTCCAGGTAAACATGAAAATACTGCCACACAATATATGAAGCTATGATAAGACTGGTTTTGGGGGGTGGTTATAAACTCCAGTTGACGAGTTACCATCACACTAAAGCATGAGTAAAAAACAGAAGTCATGCTGTGTAATCCTTACACTGTCTGTTGAATATGAGCCAGGATGTTGCAGCTCATATTGAAGCAGACTTCATTTCCAGCAACAGCTATTAGGTATTAACGAATAATATTAATAGCCTTTAATTTGGAGCATGCTTGAAAAGTGTTTGTCAACTCTCCAAAGAGATGCTGGAAAAAGTTAATTTTACTCTTGGCACATGGGGAAAAGAGAAGGTTTGTGTGTGTGAAAACATTGGCAAACAGTTTACTTAAAAATTAAATCATACACAAATGCTATTAACCAAAAAAACCCTTTTATTTTATTCATAATTAGCCAGAAATAATTAACCAAAACTACAAATGTAATGCTGCATTCTGTAGTAGAGTAGGACTGTGGTATCTGCAGGGAATCAGTTCCAAGCTGCCCACCCCCGGCCCCCACCCCCATGGATGCTAAAAAACATGCAAGTATGAAAAGCTATACTGTACACTGTATTATCTCTGGCTTCCTCCAGTGGCCAGTGTTTGTAAATACACCCTGGAAATACATCTATAAATATGCATTTCAGGGGGGATTCGGGGGGGGGGATTATTTTGCATCTTCAGGCAGCAGATAAGAGAATCCACAGATACTGATGCCACAAATAGGCAGGTCCTACTGTACATAATGCATTCTTTCTATATGATCACTCCCTCTCCCACCTTACTCTGACTATTCCCTCTTCAGGCATTGATCTCCCACAATTAACTACAAGGGGATTCAAGAAGACATTCCATACAGCTTTTGATAATTATCCAATTTCCTTTTACAAGTCCAAGACTGTTGCATAATATTTGAGCGCTAGTTATTCAACATGCTGAACCAAAGCATATTAATTATAATTCCATTAATTTAAAAAAAAAACTCAAACCAAAGAAACAGTGTTTATATTAAGTTCAACAAAAAAAGTACAAGATAATCAATAATCTTTCTGGGACATTTGTTTATACTAGGTATTACATCAAACAAAAATATCTTTAAAAGAAAGAGGAGGAAATTTCGGAATATGGTTTTTTTAAAATAATACTGCAGTGTGCATCGTGATGCAATGTCAGAATTGGAGAAAATTAAATTTCAGAGTTCAAACAGATTTTTATGTCACAATTTATGAGATTGTATGTTTGGCAAAGGGTGATGTTATGTTGGGTGAAGAGAAGTTTGTACTTGCTCTCTAGAAGTAAGGCTTGAGACTTAAAATAATAATAGTAAAACAAGAAGCAGCAATTAAAAACAGGATACAGAAGCTCAGACTGTGTCATGTGAAGGAATACATTTCTGCAATGCGATCAGTTATGCCAAGTAAGTGGGAAGATGTGACTGTACTGCATACCCAAGCTGCTGGTATGTAGTGGAAATCAATAAAATTTTGGGGAGTTTAGCTGCACTTAAATTCTACTCTGTGGATTTCTAAACTACACTCCATGGAGTGGGATGAAAAATTTCCACCCAACTCTCCAAACTTTTGGAAACTTCAGACAGCCTTATCATTGCCACCAACTCTTCATCAACTTTCTAAGGCCAGCCTTAATGAGGATAAGCTACCC